GGGATTTAAATCTCAAATATATGTACTACCTGTAGGACCTTGAAAATGTTTTTTAACTTCCATAAGTCTCAATTTTACCATCCATAAAGTGAAGATACTTTATTTCTTGAGGAAGTTGTGAAGATTAAACACACACACACACACACACACACACGCACACACACACGCACACACACACACACGCGCACACACAACAGCAACCAGTGAGCCAGGCCAGGCACCAGGTGGCCCTCAATGTATCATAAACCTCTCCCTTTCACCTTCAGGTAGGCTGTGCTTGGCACTTAATAGATGCAAAGGGAAGTTTATTGGGATTGGTGAGTCTCCCCCATCTTTTATCTTCCAAATACTCCCACCTGAAGTTCCTCACCTTGCCACCTGGCCATTTTCCAAGCCTCAGTTCAAACCCTATCTTATTTCAACAGCTCCATCCTGACGTGTCTCACCTTATCTTCACACTTGACCCTTACACACTACTATACTCTGCTTGTACTCACATACATGTCTGATCCTTCCACCAAACTATAGGTTCATCGACGGCAGGGACAAAGTCTTGCCATTATGCTTGGCCCATGTGCCTAATCAAGTGGCCTCATGGGTTGCTGCTTTGCTGCATTATTACAATCAGAGGGGCTCAACTGGCTCTCTGCCAAGATGGTACTACCTCCCCCGACACCCTCCACAAGGAGAATCCAGCCTGCAGGATGGGGTGTGGAAGGACGCTTTTACCTTCTCCACCTCCTTTCTGCTCTATCCCGGCTTTAACACCACTTAAGCATCATTTTTTTGGCAGAGTCATTTAGGGAAGCTAGAAAGTCCAGTTGAGCTTTTCTGTAAGCCGTGGGCACTGGGGCCCAGCATGACTCCCTCTGTTTCTTGACCCAAACAAAATATTGTAACAGCAAACATGACATCTTTCCTATTTTTCACAAATGCTCTCCAGGCCTAACAAAGCTAGCAGTCACACTTCCTGAATCAAAATAAACATCTACCGTTTTTCTCTATATCCCACACTTTCCCAGCATTTGTAAGCAACAATAAAGAATGTGATTATTTCATTAATTAATCATCTGTTTATCTTGAGCGTTTTCTGGTGAAAAATCCTGGAAAGGATGCAACAATATTTAAAACCTTAGCCTTATTCTTTAATAGTAATTAAATATAGATGTTCAAAAAAATACATAAACCTGATTCTTATCCTCTAATTTTGTATATGACTGAAGTGTAAGCTATGAACACTTAAATAGTGTTTAAAATTATAGGCAACATGTGATAAAATGAAAGTAAGTCACATGTAGGTGGGAAGCAAAAAGGGTCATTTTTTACTGGTCTGATTTAAAGAAGAAAGAGAAAAAAGAAAAAGCTGTTTTAGAGGACATGGGTCTCTAACTGTCTCTGAAGCAAGAATTCTTAACTTCCTGTATCACAGACTACTTTGATAGTAGGAAGAAAGCCAGATGCCCTCTCCCTAAGGAAATGTATCCATCTTTAGACTCACACATAATCACACTTACAATTTCAGGGCATCCGTGAACCTGCTGAAGTCCATTCAGAGCCGGTGACTTCTAATTTAAGATCCTTTGAAGAACTGGTAGCACATAGAAAGCAGGAAGGACAGGGCAGCAAGAGGAGGTTATGAAGTCAGAGATGCGCTGGACACAAGTGAGAAGGCCATTGAGTCTGGATTCCTGCCCCAGAAATTGTGATTCTGCTTCTTTAGCTCCTCCCTAGGCTGTGATAAGTCCCATGCCCGTCAGTTGCTTTTGAGATACTGTATGCAAACTTTGGGAAAGATTACTAAGGAGAATCCTTTGTTCTTTTCCAGCTCCTCACAGCCAGTGACCTTTCCGCCAGTGACCTCAAAGGATTTCAGCCACAGGTAAGTCTCACTGATGATTTTATGAAATACAGAACGATATGGTCCATAGTTTGGTTGTGAGCAAACAAACTGGGCGCCAGGATAGAACCCCTATGTCGATCTCTAGCTTCTCTCTCTCCAAGGGCCAAGCACAAGCACAGCCTGTTAGCTTGTGCTCTCCCTCCATCTCCTCTCTCATTCCCCCAGGGACACCCTCCATCTGCTCTCCCTCAATGTTTTGTAGTGGATAAAACATCTAGATAAGATGTTTGGAAGGTTGGACGGTGGGTGACTCAGTTTAGGAAAGGGTTAAACCAAAGGAAATAGAGGTGAGATGGGGCTGGGGCTCTCCCCTATATTTCTCTCTTTGGGGACAGGATACCCACATTTCTGTCACCTTCATGTGCAAATGCCCTGTAGCCATGGTCTGGCAGCCAGGCTAATCTCAGACTCCTGCAGAGGCAGACAGTTGAGTTTTGCTGATCTTGGTTAGGAAATGGGCCACTGTTGTCTCTGGCTAGAGTATGGTCTGCAGTTCACCATGGGTGTAGGAAAAGGCTTTCTGGGGACCTCCTTGTGAGGGGTGAAGATAGAAAATCACCCTCCCTTTCTCTGGAAGGGAAGTTACTGTCTCCACACAAACACACACAAATAGCAACACACATACTCACAAATGCACACTGGACAGAAGCCCTTGTTTTCTCCCTAGTGTAGAAAGAGCATATATACAAGGAAAAGTAAAATCCAGGAATGACTGGTGTGGCGCACTCAGTTGCTGCCTCTGTATCTCCTTTCAATATGAAACTTTCTTTCACCTCCAAACTCAGCACCTGCCTTAAAATCCCACAGTGCTGGACTTCGTGGGAATGTACATCGTAGTTAATGGCAGTGAAATTCCAGGGGTAGAGTAAGTAGTTTTCTAATAGCAGGAGTTCCATATGTCTGGAACATGCTTCACATCCAAGGGCTCACTGTGCTGTCACTACATTGTGTCTATGTGGGTTACATCCTGTGAGCACCTACTGCTGGGGAAGCTGAGGGTCCGAGGCCTGATGCACAGTGGCCCCAGTTCACACCAACAGCAAGGAACAGGAACAGAGAGTTGGAAGTGAGAGGCTGGAGGAAGAGAATTAACAAGATTAAAGTCCCACTAGTGAGAATCGAAGATAAATCCATGTACTAGTTTGGGGTGTTTTGATCACAGCTTGTTGGTCCTTCTGTTGGGGAAGCAATAAGGTTTCAGAAATTGATAACTCGTAAGCCTTTTTGTCAATTATTAAAAACCAAAAGTATTTATTCACATACCCACGCCAACTTCCAGGTGAGCTAAGGGA